AAAATATTTTAAATTCACAATAAAAGTACAAATAAAGTGAAAATCTAATCTATGTCATCTTTTGTACCAATTGCGACGACACTGTAACCCATAATTGCGAAAAACGTGGACGCCGTTATGCGTAACTGGGATTTTTTCACCGTAACTACCCGTAATTGCGATTTCTTCATCGTAGTTACGCGTAGTTACGGCGCAATTTTCCGCAATTACGGGTCACAGTGCGATCGCAGTTACGCCGTAACTGCGCCACAGTTTCATCGTAATGAAACACATGGGATGACACGTATGAGATTTCAAATTAGAATAACCATGCGCTTGAAAACTCAACTTACTATACCACTTCTAGATGAATGAAGATATCATTTTGATAGACCTATGCTTCCTTCTCGATAAAACTATTTTAGATACATGGATCAGTCTTCTGGCAACGAGAGTACGAGCCTTCCGTCACCCTTATTAAATGTTGAACTGAGTCGAACAATTTCCTTTGCTGTATTGATGGTGCTCATCGTTCCGTGGGTGGCAAGTTCCTGTTTCATGATTTATTGGACCATACAAATGCGCGAATTACGAGATCGTCTGAAAAATCATCTGATTCTCTTTGTTTTCTTGATCACATTTATTCAGGTACCGAGCTCTTTAGTATTAACATGTGTTATTCAGTACGAAATATATAGGGTACTTGTGAAATGCCTTTTACACTCTTTTTTTTACTACTGTGGTCACGTGGCATTTGCATCTGATGCTTTCTGCAAATTTTGGATCACACTCAATTTCTCATTAAACGTGGCTGCCTCTAATCTCAATGCGTATATCTCGCTCGAACGGTACTTGCTAATTTTTCATCGTAACTTTTTGTATCGGTAAGTCGCATGATTTATCTTATACTGAATCTCTGAACTTTGTTTTTTCAAGACATAAGTTTATATTGCATAACGTGCCAATGTTCACACTATTCCTTTTTGGATTTATATATTCATTCAGTTTGGTTGTGTTTTATCCGTGCAATAACAATTTTGATTTCATGATTGAAATATGTGGAGGTGCATGTTACGAAATTCAGTCATTTTGGGGTATATTTGATTGGATCGTCACTGTTATTGGACCCTTATGCATGATCATTCTATCTAATATGATTCTCATCGGGCGAGTATTTCTTCAAAGACGTAAGATGATGAGAACCAACGTCTGGAGGAATAATCAAGCTTTGCTTGTACAACTTTTATTAATTACATCATTGCACTGTATTGCTTGGCTTCCTCTATGTATTGTGAGTCTTATTAGTCTGGTAGAAGTTCCATCATCTGAAGTCATACAAGAACTTCAAAACAACTGGATATTAGTCAGTCCTATATATTTGACTATAATTGTTTTTCCTGTTGTTTGTATCTTTGCACTACCTGAGTTAAGAGACAAGCTTCGTTTAGTAATTAATTATCAACGACATCATCGACCTGGTCACCGAATTCATCCAACAAGTGTGAATATATGTCTTGATACTCGACACTAAATGAACATATTTATTTTTTTATTTCTGCTAGTAGAACTCAATAAAACCATATTGATACACCGCATCACATATAAAATTTTCAAACCCTTATACTATAATAGATATACCGTCATGGACGGCTTTCTTTTTTCGGATTAAACTCTATTGAGAGACCGGTATCTGAACAGCCCACCATGCCTAGTCTTTTTTCGAATAAAAACAGTGCATCACAGGTCTAGTGACTCCTGTCCTTTATCTAGTCAAGACGTGATCGCAAGACTCCCAGAGTTTTCTGACTAGTATTTTTATCCTTCTGAAAACGGTCGTTCAAGATTTGTTCGCTCGACGCCAGAACATGGAGACAGCCACAGAAATCAAATAATTCAAATATGATAATTGATTCTGATCTAATTGATTGCAGCAGATAAATGAATTAGCTAAAGATGCATTGAAGAAGAAAATGAAAAGTCCTAGTCAGTTTCTTCTAGACTTTCGATTAAATGGTGTACTAGGGGATCCTGCTTGATTGAATCGATCAACTCCATGTATAAACTGATTTTAGTTCTTTCTTGCTTTCGAACACTTAATTTCAATGAATTGTCTATTTTCGAACTATCAAGAAACTGTCATGATTTCAGTGCTTTTATAGTCGTTTGCTGCTAGAAAGACATGCTTCATATCCATTCATTTGAAGATAATAATCTTTGATATGACAAATGACTTGGGATCATCTTGTTCCATTTTTTTCTTTCAGAACAAACTACGGTGGAATAGCAACTCGATCGGGCTGACTAGTCCCTGTAGCACTTATTCTCAGCAGCGTTAGCTTCTCTGATAATAGAGTTGACGTAAAAAAATTGTCGAGGTACAAACGTCTTCCTTCGAAATGATGGTTAGCAATAAGAATGAAAGCAACACGTTGGGTCAAAAATGTTTCTTTTTCCCTACGTACATAATCACCAGAGTTTATATTGTTTCTCTATCGGTTGAGCAGTAGTGACCAAGAATATAAGCTTTTCGCGAAATTTCCATGTTAAATTTAAGTCAAATTTTTAACTTTGTAAATTTTACTATAGGTATCAGATCCTTTTTTTTAAATCCCACGTATTATGAGCACGATGTAGGTTATAAAAAATATTGTATTTACTCCGACAGAGTTTCATGTCCGGTAACTCATTGATTGCGATCACAATAATTAATGCAAAAAACGATTCAATATCTTTTATCGCCACATCCTTCCAGTGAACAGTTTTGCTCTGATTATTCCTTCGTTTTTTCTGTTTGCCGCAAAATATTTGTTTGATCAGTAATAAGATTTAAAATTTCTTTCGTGAGAAAAATCCTGAATACTGAAATTGATGTTATATCCCTAACAAAAACATTGATGTAAAGCCGCCGTCATCAATATCGCATTCGCTCATAGATTCAATCTCCATTTCATCTTCATTCAAATATTTATTCAAGATCTGAAATCCATTCAGATAGCTTGTTAATTCATCACAGTCGAAATCATAGAGAACACCCTCCTAAAATAAATGTCAGAGGAAGAGAGAATAAGTATGACATCATTGTAAAATTCAACAAAGAAAGACAAATGTCTGGCAAGAATATATACAGCATCAAGAAAAGATATATAAAACATGTCAATTGGAGCACTTCATGGTAGAGTCCTGCAGGTTAAGACTTTTTTGTACCCTAACCCTACCCTATAGTAAAACTTCGTACCCTTGTCCTACCCTGCCCTACGACGTTCTTACCCTAGCCCTACCCTGCCCTATAGCTTCGTAACCTTGCCCTACCCTGCCCTACGGGCTCTGTACCCTTACCCTACCCTATCACAGAGATTTTTCATTTTACACCCTATCATATCATTTGAGTTTCAGGTCCAAGTAAAAGTCAGCATGAAGTTTTTCTTCACTTTGTTTCAATATAATTTATTGATTTTCAACGAGAATCAAATACAAAATTAATAAATTTTTCGAAAGTTGCTTAAAAATAAAATATCATTCACAACATCACCACTTAAATTTTGCCTTCTCTCTTCCAAAACTCGCCCGTTTGTACTAAAAATACGTTCATGTCGAGATGATTTCGAACACATTTTTTATTACATTTACATGCACATTTACTCGACAAATAATCAAAAGTGACTGAACTCGTCAGCTCATGTATAAAATAGTACTAAACAATAGGCCATTGTTTTCCGTTCGTTTTTATTCTATCCATTCGATTTAGATTATGATATCACTCTTTACACTGTTTTTGATCAAAAAGATGTCAAAAATATATATTAAGTTCTACTCTAGAAAAATTTTATTTGTATGAGCTACACCCTACTTATAACCTAAATATTTTGTTTTTGTAACCTTACCCTGCCCTGCCCTACCCTGCCCTGCAGGGCAGGGTAGGGTAGGGTAGGACAAGGTTGACCTGCAGGACTCTACTTCATGGCCGCTATATATCAGAAATTTTCATACTTAAGTGTAAATGAATTATTTTTCCATCAGAAAATAGGTGGTACAAACATTGTACGACCATCCTGAGAGGGTTAATGTGTTTGCTTACTGCAACTTAGCTTTGATTTTTTACAGTCTTTTAGATGTATTCATAATTCGTTTAGAAGGAAAAGTCACGCCAACAATAGATAATAACTTGGAAAAATTAAGAAGAACAAGAATGACTGAGAAGAAAGTAATAATATTCAAGCGTTAAAATAGGGGCAAATAATTTAGAAAAAAAGGACAAACAACGCTAAAATCATTCTCTAATATTCATTATGGTCGACAGAACTCTTCACTTAGCTGAAATTTTTTTTGATTTCCACAACTTTTCAATAAATTACATAATATTGGGTTAACATAATGACATTGAAGTCGATTATATTCTTTGGGACAGGTTATCTTTTGAACAAGCCCAACTTGTGGATCAGCCCATGGAACAATATCACGATCATGAATAATATTGAACACCCGAGCATCAATCGTTTCCATCAAAATATCTTTCGTTTCACTATACTTTGCACGTGAATAGGATATACCTGGTCCACTAATAGATACAATCGCTACCGTGTTATTCATTGCAACACCTGCTAGCTGTGCTAAACCACCACCAAGTGAATGTCCAACCAATATCAATGGTTTACTTTTATATTTATCACTTATCTGTTGTAGTATTTTTATCATTTGTTTAACATAAAAACGCTTTGACGATTCAGGTAGTCTATAAGTTAAAAAATCTTCAAATAACGCCATTTTTTCGACCATTATTTTATGAACACCACGAGGATACAATCTAGACCATGGAAATAGAACCGAAACGACTTGACTTATTGCTGATTCTGTCCATGTATCAAAATCGACAAGCCATTCATAGGATAATGTTGTACCACGAATTGTTACAATAACCGCTTTCGATGTGTCTAAAGTGTAATAAGTTATTTCTCCATGACCGTATTCTTGATAATTATGAAATTGATCGACAAACACACATTGATTATTGGGATAAAAACGTTTTAGTTCTGATTTTAATTCTCTTGTTGGTAAATAGGCTAATGAAGCAAAGAGCGTCATATCTTGAATATCGAAACCATTAAAGTTCCAATAGCATGCTTGCATTTTATACTGTTGCTTTTCATTGTCGCTGGACTTTTCGTAGCTTTTGAATAATTTAGTTTGATATAATTCTGAATTGGTTTGATCGTTTAGGCTTTCCACATAGATAGAGCATGCGAAACTGAATCCCAAACAACCAATTAAAGACAAAATAATAAAGACTATTGAAAATGCTTGGATATAAATTCCAGTTGATTCATGGCTTTTGATCCAACGTTTTAACGCCAATGAAGGTGATGAATATTGCATCCAATATCGCCAATAATAATGTAGAAATGCGACTGCGTAAATCAAAATAGCTACTAAGAACAATTGTGGCATCTGGTTGCTAAATGACTTGAAAACCAATAAAAGCACGGCAACAGCTGCTGATATAAAATTCATGAAAATTAATAAAACTGCTACTAAAGACATTTGAAAATTAACAATTGATCGATTTGTTTTTTCATTAAAAACTGGTGGCAACCAAAGAATAATTGGTATTTTGTTTAAAAAAAACATGATATACCGACTTTTTTCATGATAGAAATATGTCGAAACAGAGCCGAATGATACCAGCATAACATGCAGAATAATCATTATAAACAATTTATATGTATGAAACTGTTCGTTTTCTTTCAGTGATAATGATATTTGAGTAGTCTTTCGAAAAATCCATCTCACGTTTGAATCGAATAATTCATTAATTGAGAGATTTCTTCGTAATCGGCATGTGTCATGTTCACCTGTATGAATAATTTCTGTTGGAGTTTTAATGAATAATAAAATATAAATCGAGTATAAAAGACAGATAATTATATAGCACAATACATTTACACCAAAAATCTGGTTTTGCCGCTCATTGTAAGCAACTGTCAAAACTGTTAGTACTGCAAATATACGAAAATATTGTGTATCCTCATTCTCAGTTGTACTCGTTGAAGAAATACTTGAATCTGCTCCCTTGATAGTACTTTTTCGAACAAAAGAACACATACTAATTAAATGCAGAACATGGAGAATTCCCATCAGAAATAATGGGAAAAGACCCAATGATGCAAAAAGTGTTTTAAAAAGATCTTCATTCAGCATCAATATTCGATATATCATGTAAATAACCATACTCATTGTAATCAAACATCGATAAATATTTTTTTTTCCAAAAAAACATAGCATAGTATCGGTATGATTGTTATTGTTTGTTGTTTCATTGTTTGTGTAACAATAAAAGCCAAATTGTATAACAAACCAAAAATAATGAGATGAAAATGCTATAATACCAGGCAATATAAGATTGCATCCGAGAAAAATTCCACTGGTAATTTTCGAATTAACGCTCGAAAATAAAAACGGTATAAATAAAACTTGCACGACAATATTTAATGAATAGCCAAGCCATAATACAGCTGCCTGTAGTATCAATAATAATATAATAAATCTCGAACACAACGAATAACTAAATACGTACAATAGAAATCCTTTGAATAAATCACACATATTTTCGCCAAAAATTAGCGGATAGCATCGAGAACAGTATTGTGAATCACTTTTAGATAGTTGTTCTTTTGCTACTGATTCATCTGTATCTTCTGTCACCATTAGGTCTTATATGAAAAATATCTAAAGAACAACAAATAAAAATTACTTATAATCGTTGCTACAGGAATTCTGAGAGCATATGGATTGCTAACATGCAATTCTATTGCATGTTGTAAATAATTCGTATTTTTGTTTTCAAATAACTTGTAAAGTGTTTTGTCAAGCTTCTATTTGTTGTAGTTCACGGTTATTTTTCCTTCTACAAGCATGCAGATGTGAATTAAAACAAGTAACAGGACGTAAGCGTCACCTATCCTCTACTGAAAGAATATTCTTATCATGACTTCAAACTCTAAAACCTTATCTAATATAAATGCATGTTTTATAATAGTCTATAGTAAACAGAAGTGTAACGATATTTACCGTTACGCCTTACTTTATGTACTTTATCCTCTTCGCTGTATCCTTTTGTTCTTGCATTGACCTGATGAACTCTCATTGTTCTATTGTGTGATCGTTCCCTCTTTGTCTATATCCGCCCAAGCGTAATCGCTCTCGCGTATATAAGGGAATGAAACTGAAGTAAATGCACGACTAGAGATGTGCAGATGACACAATACACCATCATGCCGACGGGCATAGGCGACACTCTCTATGTTCGTCACAAGCAGCATTGTTATAAAGATACCACGACTACTAGATTTGGAGTGGACCATTTTTTTAACGGAACTTAATTAATGTTAATGGCCCTTCCCTGTACTAGATCGAATCTTAATAAAAAATTTAATTCCATTAGTTTTATATTTACATCAGCTTATATGTTCCAATCTAAAACTCTTAAGTCACTTCTGACAGCATTTCAGCTTAAAAATAAACTCAAACGCTGGCAAGCCCATCTTTATTACAGACTTTTTATGCATAGATGATGTAAATTATGGATATCAGACACCGCAACATGCTATTACAAACCTTCAGAACATTCCAAGACGCAGCTGGTCCCCAAGGTTTCAAAAGAATTCCAACCCTAGAAAACCTTAAAGTGACCATTCCCCCCATTGGTGTGAACCTCTTTTCAGAAGAATGAACCATTCGATTTGAAGTAATTGCTTGGACTCTTTTCAGAGACTTGCCCATCGCGATATAATTATTACCTTCAACAAATGCACACGACTTCTGCGGACCAAAACAGAACCTCTATTTCCAGCATACTGATGAGAACACTTTTGAGGCTTTGATCAGTCCTATTTCTGATGTTTCACACGTCCAAAATACAGATGACCTCAAGATTTTTCTCAAGATAAAAGAAGATTCTCTTCTTCTGTAACTACGATAAGTGTGTTGGAAGGTGTGGGTGTGGGCGTGAGGGGTTCGTGGATAACAAGGAAGTCAACATCACACATATAGTACATATTCCAGATACTAACAGACACATGCACAAGCACGATATTCACTAGCACACGTGAACCATACGCAGACCTAGATCCACACCAAGACATCGCACCAACACCAATCCAGTACCATATGAAAAGTCATTCCCCACAGTCGAATCCACAGCCACATGCATATGCTCGGGCACATCCACAAACACGCCGGTCACACACCCACACCCTCTACAACTTACTGAATTCGACAGGAAATATCTAACCAACATGTTTTTTTGGTCATCAAAATCTCAAGAGAAGAAGAATTGACCTTTTTTTTTATTAAATTCAACTTTAGTATGAAAGTCTGCATCTAGCACAATATGTCGATCATAATATTCTTTGTACTTATATCTGTGAAATATAAGGCTGCATTACATCACTACTGTAATTGCATCATAAGACTCAATACAAAGAATCCATTCAGGGTGTGAGTGTGAGTATTTCTTTATCAACACCCACACCAACCCTCTGCTGTATTTTTGATTGCATGATCACTCGAATCGATTAAAAAAACTCCAAATCATTTGATGAAACCCTTGATAAAGGTCGAAATACTTCATGATTTACTCCTAGTTACGTGTTAGAATATGAATAAGAAATCGATTGGTTATTTTTTCTTCGCTCAAACCCCATCATGATATAAATACTTACTGTTATGTGATAAAATACTTTTATTTTTTTCTTATTCATTCATGATTAGAGTATGTTGCAAAAAAATGTTAGCTGAAAATGTGCTTTCAATGAAAATATTAGTATATGTGCAATCATCAAACGATTTGTTGTGTCAAAAATAAAATAAAATAAAATAAAATAAAATAAAAATAAAACAGAAAGAGTTTTCAATGAGAAAAGTTAAAGACAAGATTCAATCGAATGCGATTAATTCCATATCATTTGTATTCGTTGCCAATGGTTGAGATTGAACGTTTTCGTTGTGTCGACCTGAACCGATACGATTGACCGATGGAGATGGAATACGTTCAGGACATAATACATTAGTTTCCATTTCAAGCTGGATCGTATGTGCCTCCACGTTCGATGATTGTGTTTTCTGTTGATCATCACTTGTCAAGATTTTGTTGTTCATAGGTTCATCTGCAAGGCGACGATGAGCATTCATTTGTTTATGCTTATGGCGGAGCCAAACAATACCAATGGTTAACAATAAACCGCCACCGAGACCAACGACAAGACCAACAATGAGACCAATGTTTCTTCCTAAAGTCGGTGAATTAATACTCCAACTACTACTCTCACCATTGCCACTGGATGCTGATGAAACTGAGTAAGACTGACCATTGACACTAACTGATTTAACAGTTAAATCCGACACAGCATTAGCATTCTTTAGGATTTTTGCCACTGCTGCCGAAATATTTGTAGGCAATGCATCAGGCTGAAATACTGCAACCACGCTACCTGCAAAGAAATAAACTTGAATTAATATAATCTAATGAATTTTCTCATTATGCAAACCATTTAGTAGAGTAATATCACTTATAAGTGGCATGCCGCAGAAGATAAAGAAATTGTAGATCATTGCTCGTTTGATTTCAAGTTGGTTCGAAGCATTAATTGCATCGAAGTCGCCCGAAAAAGTAACGTTACTCAATAGTTGATCCCAATCCACAATAAGTGTATCTTTAAAAATATATAATTATAAAATGAAACTGAAATTCTATATCATTTTACTTACCAGTACTATTCTTAACAAGAATTGCATTCGATGCTACTTGAATAAAGTGTTTATTATCCGATGAAACCAAAGTAATATTTAAGATGTACATGCCAGTAGCATCAATCGTTAGATTAGTAACTGTGACAGTACCTGTTGCAACATCAATAATGGTTCTTGATGTACTTTGTGCGCGTAGTGATCCGTGACTATTGAAATTTGGTAAATTGTACAGTGTAACATTTGCCGACCATGTCCAATTACTCCATTGAATTTGTCCCAATTCAAGACCAGTGATATTATCGATTGGCATAACAGAAATATCGAATGTATCACTGGCGTTAACGACATAGATATTGTTTACTTGTTGACCTGCTAAAATGGCTTCTGTTACTACGATATTATTGGTCTGAACGGTCAGATTGGTCGAGAGAAAAAATGAACTATTTGATAAAGAAGAAAAAATTTCGAAACAACTAAAGTATATTATTTGAATACCTGTTAACATCCATTGGTGAAATGAAAGTAAATTTAATTTGGTAGGTACCAATGCCTGGCAAACTGAATGAATTGAATTGCACTTGTCCATTTGAATAATTAGCAATGGCACCGTAGAGAACTTGAGATGATTGACCAATAACAGTGGCTTGAACTTGCCATGGATGATCATTGGAACCTAACTTTTGAATAATATTACCTGCTGAATCATAAGCAACGAGTATAGGTTGAGTAGTACACGGGCTTTGCTCTCGACAATTGGCTGGTGCAATTAAAAGTACAGTTCGATTAATAATACCCAAAGGTGTCGATGACAGATCAAATGGTTCTTGTACATATAAATTTTCAGGAATGACGTCACCTGTTACATTGAAATATTTCCAAGCGATTTGTAATTGACCCGTTTGATAACGATTGATGATACTTGAACCAATATTTGATAGAACTTCACCAAGAACTCCAGCACTGCTCACTGAACTAGCACGTGGTTCATCACGTAGTTCGATATTCAATTTAATCGATGATGTTTGACGGCGTCCGCGACTATTATAATAACCAATGATGTTCAGAAAAAAGTAAATTGAGAATTTAGAAACGAAAGATACAGTATAATTTTTAATGAATTTAAGATCATTGACACATTAAAATATAATGAGTCACTGATAAAGAATAAGTCTACTCCATAAACTTATCAACATATTGTATTTCAACGAAATTTCTCTTTTTGAAAGAAAAAACTACAAAGATAAATAACATGACCTGCGCGCTCATCGATTTCGATTCAGACAGTAATGTATTTAACACGAATGAATACATTAATTTGTACTCGATATTGTCTAAAAGCTCTCCAAAAATTGATGAAGTTACTGTTTAAGAGTGAAAGATCTGGAATAATTGTAGATTTTGGCAATTTTCTATAGAGTTGACTTGTCGATTGAAAAAGACACTATTGAACTGTGCTTCATATTTAAAAAAGAAGAAGAAAAAGTTGCTATATTGTTAGTTAACTACCTGTTATTTATAAATGTCTCTCAATAGTCGTCGATTTTGAGAGCATCCTGAAATTCCCAAAACTTCTCAGATCTATCCGAAAGTTAAAGTATATTGTTCGAATCTTTGCTTAGAGATATTTCAAAATAATCAATATGATCAATATGATCAAATGACAATTGTTGTTTCTCACGTCGATACGATACTTACTTTGGATTTGAAGCTGATGTAATATTAACATGTCGAATTTTATCAGGACTAATGTTGAAAACAGCAGCCAACTTAGCGACAAGATCACCATTGTAGAACGTTGCTGGATCTATTGCTGGTAGTCCAAAATTGAGAATTAGCAGTGGAGATACTTTTACATCGATCGTTGTATTACCATTGATTAAGAAATAGGCCAACGTATGTGTTCTACTTATGATTAAGAAATAAAACCAATAAAATATAGATCTTATCAAATCAAAAAGAATTAAAAATTTTTCTTCAGTGAATCTCATTCCGTCAATACGATGATTTAATGAGAAATTATGTAATACAGGGAACATGTGTCACATACTATCACTTATTTGTTATAGAATTATATTGTGATAAAAAAAAAGTTCACATAAATACTTCTTTGATTTACTTTCATTTGATGGAAAACAAAAGCAATGCTTATGCAAATTTCTAATGTTCAAACAGATATGTGTCATATTGACAGAATTTTAATTGTTTTCAAAACAATTACATAGTAAGAAAATTATAAATTCAGAAGTATAATTGAACAATCTTTCGATGAAAATAGCTCATTAGTATTTAACATTTTAAAAATTTGTTCTGCTAAATTAGTATGTGTTATCTAAACTTCAAGAAGATATTTCATGAAAAATTCTGCAAAAATATCTCGAAAAAGCAAGACCTTCTCTACAAATATCAGTACGAACCTATCAAAGTAGTTAGCACCTGGTGTCGACGATAATGTGACACTGTTAGGTTGTTCAAGAAGCTTCAGAACAGTCGAATTTGGATCCCGATTAGTTGGTGATACGTAAGCAGTATTGGCATAGACATCAATCTGTTGTAATGAATTATAGTAAAGAGCCAAAATGCATCTAATTGTTGAATCAACGTTTATAAGTCGAAAACGCATACTCCTAGGTGGAGTGCTTGTTAAATAAATTTGATATGTCTGTCCTGATTCAACAATGGCCATGAATGTTGAAATCCGTCGTCGACATCCATAACCATTACAAAAGGCATGATTTTGAGGTCCATTGATCAGATCGATGTATCCATTACTGGACATGATGGCAATAGGTGAGAGACGCCGTGTTTCAGTATCTGAGTCCATACTTTCGATGATCAACATACTATAATAATTATTATTAATGCATTGGTACATGCCCCAAGACGAATGAAGAACGCATGAATTACTGCGACTGATACCACGATATGGATAGATCGAACTGATATTGATTCGTTGGCCACTTAAATTAGTCATGGCAACCATGGGAATACGAAAGTCACCGACACCATGCTGTTGATTACCTGAAGCAAAAGATACAATGAAGTATGCATGACGAAGAAAACAAAACTGTTGATTACTTACCCCAGAGGGATTCAGCTTGAGAAAAGACGCTAGATTGTTGACCAAAAAGTGTTCCATCAGTATCAGTAACTAAATCTTTTTTAAGACCATCACAATCCATGTCTAAATGTTTACAGTCAATCAACATTGCAAAACGATTATGTAAATTAATTTACTTACCACCACATTGATTCGGATTCACCACACCCAAATTGGGCTGCCCGTTTAGAATTATATTGTCTGCAGGCGTATTGTACACAAGCATAGAACTTGTTGTAATAGGAAACTGTCCATCATCATTGCTTTGCGATACTTGAATGGCTACATCATGTCGATCACAAGTATCGTTGAAAAACGCCAGAGTAACACCGCGAATCAACAGTGCACCATCAACTAGAACAGTAAAGATTGTTACTCAACAAATGATACACCATAGTCTATATTCACTTACGTGAAGGATAATTGCCAATTCCATTCCACGAACGAATAGGCATGCCATTGTAAGTGGAAATAGTTGGGAAAACGATACCCGATCTACCACCACTCTTGCCATTTGTTAATCTTGTAGATACAGTTGGTATAGCCATTTGAGAGAAGCGAAAATTATTCGTACTTGAATCGATTGTATCATTACAATCATTTGGTGTGATTGAACCAATAACTATTGAATTTACAATGTTAATTCGACTTCCTAAACTGATATGCGTTAGAGCTAGAAAAATTTAAGATAAAATAATATTAAAAATAAAAATCATTGAAAAGCATCTGTACGTGATGGTCCAATAACATAAGTGAATATGCCAACTTGACTATCAATTGTTTTACAAGAGTCAATCGTGATATTTCGAGGTGTATTGATGTAAAAGCCATAATACCATGTTTTATATGTCCTGTTAATTATTTATAGAGCGAAAAACAGATTAGTTTTAATATTTCAAATTATAATTAAATTGACAGAATATATGATTCATTCTACTTGTAGAATTTCTTTGATAATCTCTGATGTTATGTAAGATAATTAAAAATGGGTACTACATGGAATTTATGAACATCAACATTACGTATATTATTGAACAATACATGATTTTCTTAGTGAATCTTGTGAAAGATCAAACAAAGAAATATTTAACTGCCAATCTAATTAGTATAATATAAGGAGGATATTTCGAAGTCTTAGAACAAGAAAACAATTAGAAATTTATTTCCATCGGTGCTCTAATTAAACTATTGAATGGACAACTCGTTCTCGATAAGATCATTGTTAGAGTATATTATTTTATATACCTAAATCATGCATCCTACTCACGTGAATCCTCTGATGATAACACATTCTAGAAGAAATAACAATCGATAAATATTTGATAGGAAATCAAAGCGCGAATGGCATACTTCGACTATAGACAAAGCCCTTGTCCAAAGGCCAAAGATTGACACCGGACATTGCTGAATGAGCTTCATTGTTCGAATAGGAATTGTAAATGTTATATGGCGTGTATGTACCAGGACACGCCTCACCTTGAATTCGATAAGCCAAACGTTCAACGCCAGATACAAGATTATTCTTTGGAGACAAAGATAAAGATTTTAATATTGAAAACTAGATTCACTGCATGAATACCTGCATGATTACACTGACAGCATTACGAGACATGATCGCCCCATCATTATTCATATTATATTGAGCGATCGACGTTGGTTGAGCAGAGCCCGACCAATAGATAGTTGTCACTAGATTATTTTGAACTATATTATTTTTTCCTGTAATTGCGATGCCCGAACGATATGTATTGTAGATAATATTGTTAGTAATAGGTACACCATTTGTAGTGAACATGCCAATGCTATCAAAAACAAAAAGAAATGTTTGAAATGAATCAGGCTATTCTATTTCATTTACGCTGCATTGAATCCGCCATCGAATGAACAAGAATCGATGTAAGTAGGTCTTTGATAGTTCCAATCGCCTAAACTATTCATATATATACCTGATTGTTGATCACTATTGTCTGTTTCATCGAATCGTCCAAAACCAATAAATTGTGTGTTCGATAGTCGAGCATAACCTTTGTAATATGTGTATACATAAGTACTTGCCGATGAATCCCAGACATTTGTCCAATATTGCGTGACAACAATTCGAAATCCGAATAAATTACGAGATGAATTTTGGTTGATAACACGTACATTACGCGTTAATAGACCGACGGCTGCAGCTATGTCGATCATCTGCCCATTTGAAAATGGTTGTTGTAAGACTATGTGAGTGTAAGCAAGTGGAGCTACAGTACGTATCATTGTTCCATTTTCGATACTAGCGATACGGTGTCGTTCGGTATGTGAGATGGCTCTATCGGTAGTGGTAATGATAATTTCATCGCCGACCACCCAATTTACTGACTCCCTCAATATAATCAAATTGTCACCTGATTCAGCAGATATGGCAATACGCGTCCATGAAACATTACGTGATGAACCATGCAGATCAAGACCACCTAGAACAGCTATTGTTCTAGATTCTGACAGTGGAAAGCTGTACGGTAAAGTTATCGTCACTGGATAGCGATCTTGAAGAATAATGTCTACACTACCATTGAATGGAGATTCGGGTAAACCTGACAGAAACAAAACAAGAGGTTTAACTTATACTTGTAAAAATAATTCTTACCGGCGATCAATCGGCCTCCATTGATAATAATATTATCTACATACATAGTATGACTTCGTCCCTATGAATAATATTTAAGAAATAAAAATTCAAAAGCTTATTTTAAAAGATTGAATGAAACCTGTTGAAACTCGACTACACCATCAATTCTCAATGAACGAATTGTCGGTAATGAATCGTCGATCACGAGCCAAATACATCGTGGAACAAATATATTTTGATCATTTCCTGGCTTAGTACCATCTATAAAATATATTGATGAGGAAACTAGTCCGATGCATAAATCGTCAACTTACTCCAATTATTATAATCTTGTGGCCCAAATGTCCAATGAGAATCATTCGACCAGTATCGTACGTCAGTGAAAGAGCACTGGAAAATAACATCATATAGTACTTATTCTTTAGCAACGGAATGCAAAATTAAAATGTTAACTAAATCATTTTTTCGTTTCAAAACAATTTTAGATATATGCGAAAAGTATTGCCATTGATTTGAAGTGTTTCATACATTGAAAAGACATAAGTTAGACTTCTAATTCATTCAAAAGTCACAGTACTGTGGTAAAAAGAGCCTAAATAAGATACCCAAGTGAGCAAAAGACTGGCTAAATGACTAGTCTTTTTTCTAGTCACGTCGACCCGTCCCGTCTAGTCTTTGTCTCAAAATCGACTCGTTTGCGACTAGTCCGAGTTTTTGACCGTCATGCATACGCGTCCTAGTACTTTGATTGACGACTAGTCATAAAATTTAATAAGAGTAGTCGTGACGAGTGTCCCTGTCGCCCGTCCGAAGATGGGTTATGAATAAAAAATTAAGGGCGTCTGAGACGAGTATACAACCAGCTATAGCCTTATATAGTGGACGAGTCTGGACTAGTCTGAATGGAAATATGTAAGGATGAAGATTAGATTCGAACATGTATACAATGTGACACTTACCCATCGCCAGAACCATTGAGCCATATGATCGAGAAGTCATATTATACACACTCATGATCATTCTACGATGCTATTTAATACAATTTTTACGCCAATTTTTTTAATTTTATGTATCAATAAAATTATCTTTTATCGAAACGCGATGACTTTAGACAGCATTAAATAAAAATAAATTAAGAAGATTTTATCATTTTTTCGACAAATATATTTTGATTTATAAGCAAGTGCGATTATTTAGTTGGGTTTTAAAAACATTAATCTGAGTATAAAATTAAAAAAATATTTGTATGGAATAGAAAGTAATTTTTTTCATATTATTTTTTAGTTTAGTTTTAAATTTAAATCATCGTATATTCATCTAATAATTAAATTATCTTTGGTTTATTTTAAATTTAGTACATCTCACATTTTGTAAAAAAATATATAAATTAGCACTCCTAGATGCGAGTTGAATTTTGTTGTTAGTACAACCCCTACTATTTTATGTTTTGATACACTGCTAAAATTTTAGCATATGCTAATGCAAAATAAAATAAAATATATCCAGACAGGGATGCACGCAATATATTAAATCTTTTCGAATGCGCTATTGATTACAGCAGACTCTTTAATTGTCCTTCTAGCTAGAAAAAACTTCGATAAGCATTGAGTAAAATAAACACTTCTTAAAAAATGACTAGTCATGAGGTGTCCAGAAGATGCTTTAGACTGGTCCTAATAACTGTTGAATACATTTCAGACTAGTCAATACCGTTTCAGTTGGTTTGTTTCTGATTTTCTATGCATGGATGGGAGTCAATCTATGATTTTAGACTATATATACTTATGGCAGTCTATCTCAGTGTCCTAGTCTGTCGTCAGCATGTCCGTCATATTTCGAACAATGCCGGCTAGATGTTCAAACCCACGGTGTAACCTCTTTTTTTAATCTTCTTACTAGTCTGGACTGGGTCAACAGACAACTCGGACTAGACATGACTGGGTCAACAGGCAACTCGGACTAGGCATGACTGGGTGAACAGACAACTCGGACTGGACATGACTGGGATCAAGGACATTTCAGACTAGTACAGACGTGTTTGTAAGACATTCCTCATTAAGCTGACTAGACCAGACGGATATGCAAGACGTTTCAGACTAGGCTAGACGGATGCTGCGGACATTTCCGACTAGTCATGTCGGTAGTCTCCCTTCATTTTTTGCTTACTTGGGTATAATGGTATTCATCGAAAAATTAAGCATATACCCATGTAGCCGATAATGGATGAATAATGGAAAAATGACCCATTATTTTCCATTATTTCAAAAAAAATGAATTAATGCATTATAATTAGTTATTTTTGGACTTTTCAATGCATTTTAATGCATTATTCCCAATAATGATGAAAATGAAGGATAATGCCTAAGTTTTCAATGCATTACAATGCATTATTCCAAATAATGGACAATTTTGAGATAATGCATTATCATTCAATGCATTTCAATGCATTATCAAGCATAATGTATTAATTGAGGATAATACAATGGGAAATAGGTGATTTCTGATTTTGTGAGTTAAGATGATTTTTTTGATTTAATTTTAGTTTTAGCTGAGTTAAATCAGCTTTTCCCCCTTGGATTAGATCATGAATCATTTTGTTTTCCAAATATGAAACCATTTTCATACTATTGAAACTAGGGGTGTACAACTCACGCTCACGCTCGCGATGAGCGCGAGCGGTCAATGCTCACGCTCATATGAGCGCTCATGAGCGTGAGCGTTTCTTTGGCATAGAATACGCGATCGCTTCTGGTCATTTTTATCTAGTCTATTCCTCGAACAACAATATTCAAAATTTTTGTACATGGGGTCCCCCTCAGGTATCGTGAATATAATTTGTTTTTGTTGACGAGCCAAAATAGTAAGAATTTGAACATTTAAGAGTGCTGATGACGAATATCATCGTGAGAACTCTCAAAAAGCTTTTATTTGTGAAATAGCTTTAATCATTAGTTGCACAGCTTTCCTGATTATTTGACCCTCC